TAAGCAACTGTGTACATCAGTCCCATCCACATACAACCAAACAGACACATATCTTTGAGCACAGAGAATAATGTAAATGTGAATCTACCGGTCCTCTCTGGTGAGCATGCGGGGGGAGTGAGGTGGAGTGAAAGGCGCATGCAGCGTCTAAATGCCATTATCCATGCTCCTCGATGTCTGCCATGCCAACTGCCGAGCCGAAGCAGCCGGACTTCCACTCAGAATGTGCTTAGGAGACAGCACACTCCAGTACTATGTATACTGCCTGCCTTATGTGAGCTACTCGCCTCAGAGAACAGGGTATGATTGACACCGGCCTATCGGCTATCAGGCTTTTGCGGCTTCTGGGGGCGGTCCGGACGACCAAATCCCTCCGGCCGTCTCATTCCCATATTCGCTCCACCGCCCTGATCCTCGTTGTCCCACCCGTCCGGCTGTAACGAAGGCAAAAGCCACCACAGCTGCCCAGCTCAGGGGCAGTATTACTCCGTCCCCTCCTCACATCTCCACCAGATTGTCTACTCTTCTCCAATGCCTTTAAATGGCAGGTCTGTCTCTTACGGTCGGCCATCGTCTATTCGTTTTTATATGCGATAGAATAGTCGACAATTGGAATCCACTTATTGGTAGACATGTCGACAAATTTTTTTCAAAGGATGGCCAGATTTTAGAGAAACACAACATTCAGGGGCCATTAGCCAGAAAGAGAATGCTAAATGTTTGTTAGGTTTGCGTGGTTGGACAAATAGTCGACTGACGCATCAACACAATAGATACTGATGAGACCTAGGTGAGGCCAAAACTGTAGATGCGAAGATGATCCAAGTTTCGATGGATCTTCCAATGTAACATTGTTGGGAAACTTTCTTTTCGTATGAAAGAATATGATGAAAAGATTCGAAGAACGATCTAACTGGAAGCCGACTGCCAATTCACGTTGATCTGCATCCGTTTGACTTTCACATCGACACAGTCCACGAAAAATCCTACCCCACTTCGAGTGAAACGTTCTATATAGTCTGGTAGTCTTCCTGACTGATGAATCGCATAGGGCTTATCAACACCCCCTAAGCGAAGTTGAAACTGCAGTCCACTCGTGCCTGGATGAGAACAACTTTTGGGAAAGCATGCCTACGTGAAATTCAACGGAAACGTCAGCTCTACTCATATCATTGTGGGAAAATTATACTTCCAATCCTTCATCACCTTAAACAAAATGGGGTGAATACATCTCATATTACTGATTTACTGGTAGTCTCTAAACTCTACTTACAAACTAAAAAATAAACTATCAGTTGCATGACTCTCCATTTCGAAGGGAAAGTTGGTTGAAAGGACTTCGTGATGTGGCCTCATCGGAAACTAAATGAGGATTGTCGCGTAAGGAGGGCTGTTGAATTGTGCTAAGAGGTAATCAGCTCACCGTCCTGCGACCCCGATGAAACTGTGTTAAGCTTTCGTATGTACTGTGACAGACATGATCAGACCTAGATTCTATACTTTACGAAATAGAGCTAAAATATACTAAACCAACAGAAGGCTCCATCGAGCCTTCAATATCTTCTCCAGGACACGCTTTTACCCCAAACAGAAGTAAGCCCAACAAAGAAGGGAGAACAGTTTTTATTTCCTATGCACAAGTGAAATACTTTTGCTAACATCCTTCGTTGGCTATAATGCATAGTTTGTATGATATTTTGATGAAAATTAGCAAAAGTTCCTATTCAATTTTGTTCAATTTCGCTTTTTTCTGCTAACTTGCTTTGAGCAAAAGTTGTTTCTGTTTGATTGAACTCTCCTAAAATAGATTAAATTGCTATTGGTTGCGCTACGATCCGAGTATAGATCTGATTTCACCTACATTTCGTGTCGCTCAGTTTTGGTTATTTAAGCTCCGATTATCTTTTATATGTGGTCAACCTATCCGATTAAAGCTGAGCTAGCCTTCTGTACATTGCAGTTTTGATCTTTGTCTTCACCGGGAGGCCAGCAAATTGCATTGCTCCAGCGAGGTAGCACAGCAAGGCCGTTATTTTTAATTAATGACAAGCCTGGTGCCCTGCATAGGAGCCATTTTGAGCCGCAGATAATCATCTTTTAGATATGAAAACGAAGATGGTGTGGTCTTCTGCTTGGTCGAAGTCTTATTCCAGCCGGTATTTTAAGGATATTTTTATAACTGACTATCATGTGCAGAAAATTTGCAAATCTTGCCCTGAAAAATTCAACTGAGCTCGTGCCCAATGCTAATTTTGCTTGAATCACTTCTTAAGAGTATTGCTTGAACTGAAACTCAAAACACGCTTGCAGCCCATGTAGCGTCTGAAGGCTTTCTCCACGAATCCATAAGTTGCCTATGGGATCGGATTACCAAAGAGAACAAATTTTAATCACCCTAGTTTGGGACTCGGCAAATTCGGCATAGCAAATATTGTCAAACCCAGCAAGAAGATGAGGCTGGCAAACAAACTCCATTTATCTGGCTACCGCCCTCCAGAGCCAATGCGGCAATCAAGCTAGCCCAATGCGGGCCTCTTACATGAGCACATGCATAAGGGCACACTCTGCTCTGTTCTCGCAACCACAACTCCGGATGTAATTATACACACAGACCGGCACACCTACACCTACAGACACACAGAGACACATCAACAAGCACACAGACCTTGCAACAACCTCTCCAATAGACTCTTTGCATGAAGCCCTAATGCACTTCGTGTCCACAGGGAATTTCTCCAAAAGGAATCTTCTCTTTGGGGATTCTCTATGAGGCCGGAGGGGAGAAGACAAGTTTCCTTTTACTGGCCTGGGAATAGCTTCTGCCCAGTAGTGACCGGAAATCGTCTTGGCGGCAGCAACTCATCACTCTCACTAAGTCTCCAGGCCACGCTGCTAGTGAACACGATGCTGATGATGAGGCTGCTTATGGAGGCGGTGGAATGATGATAACGAAAATATGGTGGTTTGAAAGACCACTGTCACCATGGCGAGCTTGGCAAGATTATGATTTTTCTTCAGCTAATAAGTTTAAGACTAAACCTCCAGTCTGATAGCAATTGTTTTACCGAGATACAACTTCATACTTTCCTTAGGATGACAACTGTTGCTATGCGATGATTGGGGGCGTCGGCAAATAAAGTCGGGACATCAATCTATGAGTGGTTTTATCTATTCTTAGCTTCCTTTCAAGAGACAGAGCGTGAGAGCAAGTTTCCAAGTGTCAAAGCAGCATTTCTATTTACTTAATAAGAGGCGGTGGCAATGCTGTTGAATAGTCATCAAATTGTTGATTTAATCATCTTTACATAGGGATGCGGAGTTAGTTACAGTATTAATAATAATCTAAATAATACAAATAATAATAGTACTTTGAAGATACAACGGGTGTTAGTAGTGACGGTGGTAATGGCTATAGTAAATTAAGTACTAGTCTATAATTACAGTAAACACTTAGCATAAACAAGGAATTTAAATCATTTGTTTGAAATAGACCATTTTTATGTAGGCTTCTTGGCAAGTGTTAATGGGGCTTGATGTTGGGTAAATTCAAACAGCAAGGCTTTATTTTTGAAGTAAGTTTGATCACTATTTGACGAAAATCCCATCTTCAGAGGAAATTTATGCAGAAAAATAGATCATTGCCCAACCGTGAGCCGAATTTTACCTGCCTACTTTCTGTATCGCGTGTAGGTGACGTCTCCGGAATAATCCTCAATTATGACCTGATTGCCTCTCTAAAGCTTTCAAGGTCAGGGGAATATGTACCAGCATACATGATCTTTCAGCTTATTCGAACGTAGCAGCATGAGAGTTGTAATCCGTTTTTTTCGTTTGAGGCTAATTAAGGATCAGCAAAGTCATTGGTAAGCCTGTTGATTTTGTCTATTTTATTTTTGATGTAAGGCAAATTAATGAAATTGTCCATTCCTATGCTATACATTGCCTGGCTTGGACGTTATAACCTTAAGGTTAGGCAACGAGGATAAGCCAAGCCATCCAAGTGCGAATTAATCACTTTGACAGAGGCAGGGGTAGCATATCGCCTCTATTGGTTGAGGTGAAATCGTTCTACTTGATCTTTCTAGTAAGTGCACATAGACTGTGCCTAAACAGTCTGAATTGCTATGCTTGCAGAATTCCTGACTTGCCAGTGTTTGTTCCCTAATCTGTACGTTTCTAGGCAGTAAATGAGTTTTAGCTCTATCTAGAGCTATTAAATAACCAACATGGCTGCACAATTATTCTTCGGAAAAATCTATTTTTTGTTATCTAATGACAAATAACTCGTAGATCAGCCACGTATTAGCTTCGAGAATCGTCAGAATGGATAGTACCGGTTGTAGAGCCAGATTCACCTGCGTTATGTGAAGTTGCTTTTTATCGACACTGTCAGAAAGAAAAGGGAGTCAACACGTTACGATGGAAAAAGGAAGTTATTTTTAAAATGTAAAGTCACTGGGTTTAGATGATTCTCCTGAGAACACATTGTTGGAAAGCCTTTCATTTCATATGAAATTGCATGAAGAATAGATTCGAATGTCTATCTCAACAGCAGAGGACGGCTTATTCATATTAAACTGCAGTCGTTTGGCCTTAATACGACAAGGCTCATGGGAAGCATTAACAGGCTAGACGAATTAATTGGAAACCAAACAAAACTCAGGCAATCCTTTTT